TTTATGTTAAATATATATATATATATATATATATATATATTATGTAAAAGAAAATATAAAAATTTTTAATTTTATAACAATTTACATAATATTCAATGAAAGATTTTCACTTATTTTACAAATATGTTTGAAATGAAGATGCGCATTGATCAGCAAACGATTGTATTTATTCAGGTAAGAGATAAGAAGTGGACAGATAGCTATTCGACGCGGCAAAAATAGCAAATCGGTTATCTATGATTTTTAATAGAAAATTTCATACAAATATATCGATGTATATATTGAAACATATTGCAAAACATTAATGTGCTTTCCTTGGAATAATGTTTCCTAAGTTGGTTGCCATGATTTTTCGATGAGTTAACCAATTTCTTTCAAATTTTACACATAAAATAAATATCTATATATCTTTCATATTGTTACATTTATGTTATATTAACAATAATTTTTTTTTTAATGAAGTATTTTTCATGGAATTTTTATGTTAAAATCAATATTTGTTGTTTTATTCCGTCAAGATAATATTGCATAATTGTGTAGATTACAATTATCTTCGATTTTCCTGTTCTAGTAAATACAATAATGTGAAATCGTGAAGCATCCATTAAAAATATATTATAAATAATATATATATATATATATTAGAAATAACATATAATAATTTAATCAATATAAAATTAAATTTTATTAAAAATTTTAGGTTTTTTATATAAATAAATATATATAAAATTTATATAAAAATAAAAATATATATAAAATAAATATATATAAAATTTTTTTTACTAATATTTTTTTTCTAAAGATTAACTAAAAATTAAGAATAAGTCCTTCAAATGGCAATACCTTTCTTCCCCATATCTGTTTTATAAAGATAACAACATAATAATTAAAGTTATTAAAAAATAAAATGAGATTTAAAAGAGAAATCAAAATATAAAAGAAAACTAAAGCAATAGGACATTTCTAAAACTACGAAAATATAATTTATAATATATTTATAAAATGTAATTATATTTAATGTATTTGTAACACGTCATGCATACTAAATTCTCGAATAAAAAGTTTCAGTACATAAAATATTCAGATTAATGAAGTTCTAGAATCTACGTTACGTATTTGAAGGACATATAATATATCAATAAGCATATAAAGGAAAACGCATATCACGATAAATAATTTTATTCAAAGATATATAGAAAGATTTATAATTTTTATTAAATGAAACATTTTTTTAGTAACTTCCGAGTTACATCATCGTGAATTATTATATATAAATCTGGATATAAATATAAACAATAATAATGTACCGGTAAATTAGGATATATGATAAAATTAAAATAATGTATCTACAATATCGATAAAAATGTCATTTCATCATATAAATTTTCATCATTACTCGACAAAAAAAGTACTTACAATTTCTTATGGAAAGAGTTCACAAATGTATTTAACACTGCTGCCATAATTTCGTTGCTTTACAAATTACCGGAATCAATACAATTCTCTAAGCACTATTGTTTTCCAAGTAATGTTCTTGTACAAACTGAGAATAATCATAAACTCTTGAAGCAGTCTCCTTTCCGTGGACACGTCAGTGATATTTCTGTGCGTAAATTTCGTCGACACTTCCGATTGGTCGACGTGCCCCTTGAAATTTTACGAAACGTCAGCTTTCACGTGACAATGATAGACAATAAATTGTTATGTAAAATAGACAAGGAAAAAAGAAAACTTTATATGACTAATAGCGTCATCTTTTGGATAAAATTATAATTTCTAACTTTTATAGTTATTATGAAAATATAGATTGATACCGATACTATAATAATTCGTTTTTAATATTTAAAAATTTAATAAATCACATTGATATTTCTTATTAAGATATGATTTTTATTTGAGATTATTGAAACATTTTAGATTCCAATTAAAAAAATTATGTGTGGTACAATTTTCATTTTGTCAGCCATATTGTTTTAAAACCATTGTAAATGAAAAATTTATATTTTGTAATTCGAAATCATGAAAGAAATGTTAACAAATCAAACTGGTTCAGGATATAATAATTCTTTCATTAATAATAATAATAATAATGGAGATTCCAATAATACAACTGATAATACAAGGAGATATGCTGTTCTTAGTACAGATTGGATATCTTCAATTGGAGAAGAACTTGGAATGTATCCCTTGCCAGATTCTTTATTAAAAAGACTTGCAGAAGATGCCTCATATCGACTTAGAGAAGTTTTATATGTATAATTATTATTATTTGCTTTTAAAATTTATATATTTAATTTAATATTATAATAAAACTAACTAAAATTAATTTTTAGAAATGCGTAACAAGATTGAAACATAGTAAAAGAAAACGTTTAACATCTACTGATGTAAATGCTGTAATTACTAATTTATGTGATGTAGATCCAATATTAGGTGCACCAGAATCTATGCCAGAATATCATACTGAAGCAAAAGTTTTTGTTCCTAATGAACGTATTGTTAATTTAGTACAAAAAGTAAATGATCCATTTAATATATCACAGAACAATGTACCTTTTATTCAAGGTATTCTTATTTATATTTTCTTATATACATATATATATACATTAATTTGATCATATTAATATTATTTGCAATTTATTAATGATATATTTGATATTTTTCATAGAATCTGAAATATGTGATATAAGACTTACAGAAACACGAAATAATTATGCAAAACGTGCATTAAAAACATTATTCAATGGATCTCAAAAAACATTTCAGGTAAGGTAAATTTAATTTATGTAATATTTTTCATAAATATTACAAAAAGAATAATTAATAGGTTTTAATTAATGATTGTTCCACTAATGCTTATTTGAGTGGAGAAGGTGTAGTAGACAAATTAATGTCTATTGCTAGATTTATAATAATTTCAAATAATGTACAATACACAAGAGTATCCACAAGGACATGTCAACTTATTATTGCAATTGCAAGCAATGCTGAAGCTATTTATCCATATCATTTAACTTCGGTAATATCGACAATAAGATCATATGAATTGTTCTAGGTGATCTGTGAAAAAAATTAGGTATTTTAAGATCTTTAATATTTTTTTATTATAGGTCAACAAATTAACTGAATTGCTATTGGAATTACTTTTAGGGCAGAATTTTATAAATCCAAATCTTGAAGCACTTTTAAAAACATGCATATTAAAATTAATGCTTCGATGGCCTTCTACTGCTGATAAGTAAATAAATATTATATACTTAATATATTCATTACTATTCATTAATGATTCTAAAATCGATCTTTAATGTTAAAAGATACATCCCCACACTGGAGAATGTGCTTTTAAAAGAAGAAAAAGAAAATATAGATAGTAGTAAGAAAAGAATAATAGCTATGGAACTACTGGCTAGTGTTCAACCTTTAATACTTTTTCAACAAGAATTACAATCTCCACTTTCAGTGCATTCTGTTTTAAAATTTGCCTTACCTAGTTCTATTTTATGGCAAAAAATAGCTGTAAGCTAATTTTAAAGTATATTTTTTTTATATTACTTTTCTTCTAATAGTAATAAATAAATAATTTTAATTATAGCTTACTATTTGTGCTCTTTTAAAATCACAAGCTCACACTATAGACATTGAAGTTTTCATGGAACATTATGGAGATTCTTTATTACCATATTTACCATTTCAATATAAGAGTACAATAAATGAAAATAACAAGCCTGCTTCTCTTCCTATTACTATCAAAAGTAAGATAAAATATGTTAATGTTAGGCCAGTAATAAGTAATCGACTATTATGGGATCGACAAACAGCATTTCCTGATTCTACATTGCGAGGTCCACGTCGAGAAATAAGGTATGAAATTATATATATCATTTAAATTATAAATGAAATTATTTTAGGAATTTTTTTTTTTTTTATAATATTTGATTTTAGATTTGCATTCGCTGGTGGACGACCGGTACCTCCGAGTAATTTAAGACGTGTTAGTTTAAGAGCAAATTATCAAATTTTAAGAAGCGAATTACAAGCAACACTTGCTCTTGTAGCTTCACGAAGATTATTAGTACTTAAAGATAAAAAAAAAGGCCTTTTAATACTTACAACTTATTGTATAGTTATTTATAAATTTAAACATGGATATATATAATTTAAATAACAATTTTAGATTCACATTTGAATTTTTTTACATAAACAAAATTTTTTAAAAAGAATTTCATTTTATACTTCAAAATTCACACATATAAATATATTTTAACATTTTCTCGTTAAAGCTAGAAAACGTGAAATATCATTTTTTATTTATACTACAATGCATTCATATAAAGTTTAATATTTATAACTATTTATAATAGTAGATATATTTATATATATGAATATGTACAATATCATCTGTATATTGCTAAAAAATATAATAAGATAAATTCATTAATTTATTTATTTAACTAATAATAAGTAAAAGACTGAAATAATGACTGACCTTATTAAAATATTAATTCTTTTTATTAAAAACAATCTTGTAATTCTTGTGGTAATTTGTTATATGTTAATATATGTGAATTAATCAAACATGTAGTTCGAATATGCATCCTTATTGGTATCTGAAATAAATATTTTTAGTATTAATATTATTTTGTTTAATGTTATTATGATTTTAAAACACATACTGCAACAAGTCGTTGACTCAAAATTTCATTTTTATAAAAAAACGAGTAAAAATCCATTTGAATGAAATTAGTATTTTATTAAAAAGTTCTGTCCCTGATATTCTAAATATCATCTGAAATATATTATTTAATATTACAAAAAATACATTTTAATTGTATAGAAATAAAAATGATAAATTAAAGCTCATAAAAAATTTAAAAATTGAATCTTTTGTTACCTTACTTCTCTCCAAAAAAAAAATGAATTAATAGTTGTATCAGAAATAATATTATTTTTATAATGAAATTTAATAAGTATCTATATATCTTGAATTTATTTTATTTTTTTCAGTTCATTGTAACGATAGATATCAAATGACATACACCTGTAATTCTTAGTATTACATTATTCATATAATCCTTAAGAAAGTTGAAGCTTTATTATTGTTACTAAAAAATTCTAAATATTAAACCATTTTCCTGTTCCAGTTTCTCCATTTTACCTGAATTCATAATGTATTATTAAATTTACAAAAGAAATTAATTTATTATTATTTATTTTTCATTAAATGTTCTACCTGAGAATTTTGTCCAAATTTTTTAGTAAAATTATAATGTGCCTTAACAGCAAATATGTAAGGACTTGTTTCATAAGTAATGGCAATTTATTTATCAAATTTAAAAGAATGATACAAATGAGATGTTAATGCTTCATTGTTAGGATTTAATATCAAGGATAATGAATCAACTCATGTATAAATTTGACCATGTTGTAGTCTTTCCAAAAGAAAATCTATAATTATGAAAATAATATTAATATCTTTAGAATTTTATTATTTGATATTTAAAAGTATGAAATCTATATGAGATATATACATATTAATATCTTCATTTTCTAGTAAATTATTTAAATCGTTTATCAAATTCCATTCAACTAGGGAAATTGATTGCTGCAATATCTACATGTAATTTATAAAAACATACTAGGAAGATAATATATTAATAGCAAACCTCTATTATTGCAAACATAGCGGTTCGTATTGCACAATTGATTATAAAAGTAAACGAAATGATGTCAAAAATAAATATTTACATATTCAAGGTCAAAAAAATTCACATATTTATCTCAGCATTTTTCAAATCTGTAAATTCTGATAACGTAATTTATATCACAAAACAATAAATTTAAATTTATCAAATATTTTCAATTTATTATAAACAAATGAATTCGCGCGTATGAATCTTTTTATTCAAATACATTAAAAAATTATGTTACAAACAATCTTTTTTAAATGCAATTTTAAAATTATTGGCCTTCAAAAAAATTTTACAATTATTTCATTAAGGACACTTTTCTCCCATTATTTGAAGAAATTTTCTATTATCTTCAATGAGTTTTTCTAAACGTTCTTTTGTAGCCGAAGTTTGTTTTTGCATAAGTTTGCGTTTAGCAGATTCGATTGCCACTCGATAACCAGTAACGTTGCGAAAAACCTTTATATGTCTATCTCCAGCAACTAAGATATATTCTCCTATAGTATCAAAAGCTAGACATGTAATAGGTCCTGTAATACAATAATATTAAATAAATATAGATTTATATATGGATATATATAGAGACTATTTATAAAATAGAATGAAACAATACCTAAAAAAATATCTTCTATTGTAGTATCTAACAAACCAGTAATTGTAGAGTAAAAACTTAATGAAGATCCATGAGATATTACCAAAACTTCAGTGTTAGGAGAGAGCATAATATTAGCTACTGTTGTATTTTCCCATTGTACAGTTTGAAGTACATGAGGATCTTCTCCTTTTTCAAATTCAACTATAAATATATCAACATATATAATGATCAATATAAATATAACAGAATTCAAGAAAATATATGGCAAAAATATCATTATATAATTTATTACTTTTTGTATCATATAAACGATAAGTTCCATCTTTTGATACAGTTGCCATACTACTACTATCAGCACTAAACGTAAAATCAAGTATTCCAGATGAATGACCAGCAAGATCAAATGCCTTTGCTACTTGTTTAAATTCTCCCGATTTACTAAATACCACTTCCCATATATTCACGTCGGGAGTAAATCCTAGATAATAAAATATTATTATTAAGACATTGATAAGACAAATTATAAAATATAAAATAAAATGGAATATAAATTGATAAATTATAAAATATTACCAGATGTGCCAATGAAACGTCCACAAGGTGATATTCGTGCTCTATATGTTGATCCAAGATGTAATTCTATAGTTGTAAGAATCTGTCCTTTAAGATCCCATACTATAAGATCATTTAATTTACTGCATGTAATGATATATTTTCCTGTACATGCAATATCCATGCCAACTACATCTTCAGTATGTCGCTAAAAATGAATAATAAAAAACATAAAGTTTGTAAAAAAAAAACAATACAAGAAATAAAATTTTAATATATACCTTTGAAAATTCTAGAGCTTTAACTGCAGAAGCTAAAGTACCATCTGATTTTTTGGAAATTTTATAAACTTCAATAGTATTTGCCACAGCTTTATGTATAAGAAAAGCTTTACCATCGGGAGACCAACGTACTAATGTCGCATGATCAAATTCAACATTAACACGAAGCGATTTTTTTTCCTTTATTGTCAATTCTTTTGTATACCATAAGAGAACAGTCCTATCTGAAAAATTAAAATTAAAAATTAAAATTTGTTTATCTTAAAATTCCAATAAGAAAATAATTCTAATTTAAGGAAAGCCTTAGACAATTAATATTATCTTATATAATTTACAAAAAAAAACACACATGATTTATTACAAAGTTTCTTTATTGAATGAACAATTTAAGATTATTAAAGTTTTACAGCAATTGAAACAAGTTTGATGGAATATAATAAGCTAGATATAATTAATTGTAAAGCTTGAATAATTTTCATGTTTGTAAATTCATTAAAATTTTACAATAAATCTATTATTTTTTAATTTTTAAATACATTATAGTACCATTAAAACTAAATATAATCATTTACGCTTTTTATTCGGTGGTGGCATAAGATCAGAATCATCTTGTAAAAATCGATGCCTATTAATATAATCTAAAAGTCGTTCGGTTGTTATAGGTTTTATAATACTTTTACATACAGATTGAGCTGTACTAAATGAATTAGGAAATGATTTATCAGTTCTTTCACGCATAAACACCCATTTCCCATTTTCAAATTTACATTCTATAATTGCATTATTTAAATCTTTTATCTGTTTAGTGACCTTCATTCTGTCAAATGGTTCTTTTATACCACCTACATAGAGTTGTCCAACTTTCTGTGGAAGAATTCCTTCCCCAGATTCTGTTACTATTTTTAATCTAAAATCAACAGAATTATGTGATAAAGGTTTCCATTTTAAAACTTCTCGTGAAAGTCCTGGACAATAGGGTTCATTAGCAGGTTGAAATATTAAGCCATCAGGTTCATGACCTAATTGTTTGGCAAATTTTTCACTTAATAAACTAGCAGCCTGTATTACATCCCAAAAAGATTTTAATCGTACTGAAAAGGGTTCCATTTCTTTTCTTAGTTTTCCTTCTTTCATTGCTCTATGTCTGCCACCTATAATTTCACGCTCAATGATACAAAAACGGTCAGGATGGAATCGCAATTTACTAACATCTCTGCTATCATACATCACTACATCATAAACTAAATATCTTGGATATTCTTTACCATCTGCTTTGTCAATCACCATTTCCTATAAAAATATTTCTATTAATAACTGATTTAATAATTTCAAATTTTTATTAATTCTATAAAAAATTACTTACACCATCTAACAATGTATCTTTAAGAGTTCTAGATATATCTCTTGGATGTGGAAAAGTCATTCCATTAACTTGAAATACACTATTATCTCTATCTATAAAATAAATTTCTCCATCCGCTTGAATCAACATCATATATCTATACAATAATAATAATCATTAATCTAATACAATCAATATTACAATATTTCAAAGTCTTCAATGTTTGAAATATATCGCCATCTCACCTGGTCCCATCTGCTTTCCATGACACTCTATATGGTTTTTCATGCAACAATCTAATATTATCTTCATTCATAGAAACTGGTTGAGAACCTGGAAATCCAGTTGATTTCCAAGAACAGATGTCTTGAACACGTCTTTGTATTCCACTTAATTTCCTATTATCTAAAATAGGTTTCACTCCAGGTATACCAGCCATAAATACTGGATTCTTATTATTAAATTCCCGCCTTCTTCTTTTATTGAATATATCTTGATTATAATCATTATCCGTACTTGGACCTTCATCTGTGTCTTCTATATTAGAATCATCATATTCTAAGCACCAAGCTGGTCTTGGTGGAGGATCAGGAGCATCCTCAATATCATCATATCGCCTAAATAATTCTTGAATATAATCACCTTTATATATGCCTGGTGGTCTTACATTAGCAAATTCTGCCAAACCAGCATCAACACTAGTACCATCAGTTTCTACTAAATAACTAATTATAAGGAAGCCAGTTCTATTGAAACCATGTGTACAATGAACACCAATAACTTCTAATGGATTATACGATATAAATTTTTTACAAACTTGCACAAATGTTCTTGTTTGTTCTTCAGAAGGAGTTTCACCATAACCTCTACACTGTAACTTTAAATATTTGCAACCATACGCTTCTAAGCTTTTTTTGTCGTAAAATCTTGTAGTATTAGTTAAATCAATCCATAAACCTAACTTTATTTTCTGACTTTTTAACGATGCGAATAACATATCCACTGTAAACCGACATTCTTCTGGTACTTGACTGTCATATGAAGACGATAATGGAGTTTTGAAAGCAAGAAACTTATTTTGAATTAATTTGATTGCTTTCCGTGGACAATGAAGCCATCGTGGAGGAATCGGACCTTTACTTTCGTTCCAATTTGACATTTTGGCACGTTTTTTATTAAAAAATAAATTTTCTCTTTTCTTTTCTTTTAATTTAATAAAATATTATAAACGCAAAAATCATTTTCAGACAATACGTAAATACGACATATAACCTATATCTTGACAAGCATTTTCGTTCATTTATTCCTTCGAATATATGTAATAGATTGATTTTTTCCAATTAATCATTAGTATTATTAAGTTTATCAAATAGATTTGCAATTAAATTAATGATAAAAAAAAGAAAGATATACAAATTTTACACTTCAATACCTTCCGAGCGTCAGAACAGCTGTTACTAGCGTCTACTGATCGCCATTTTAAGCTTTCACTATTCGACTTTTACCAAACTTCTCGATGAATCGATGGTGCACATCAATATTCGATAGGATCGATTTATTTTATAAAAAAATTTAATGTAAAAATTTGAATGTTTTTTAAAAATCTTTATTTTATAATTAAATTAAAATAAACAATTTTTAATTTTATATTTTTTAATCTATATAATAATCAATATATAATAATCTATATAATAATCTTGGGAAGCAATCTTAAATATATTTCTCTAAACTTGAATCCACGGTTAAAAACATTATTCAAGTATCACTTGTTAAATCACTTAAAATATAAACACAAATGTAAAGAACAAAGCAAGGAATTATTCTTATAAGAAAAATAGTAATTTATCCTTTGTTTCACTGACTTCATACTCAAATAATATTTAACAATTATCCATAATAATAAATGCATATCAATTATTCGATACTATTAAGATATACGAATATACCTGCATAAATCCTTTGTAACAAAGGACGTAGATAAGATTTACGATGCGATCAAAAATTTATTGTTATTTTTAAACGAAAAAATATAGAATTTCGTTCATCATGAAATACCAATTAAATGGCACATCATTATTCATAATTTTTTTTTAGTTACTTTCTGTGTCTCGATTTCAAACATCATAAATTACAAAACCTTGAGGATTCTCCAGTGGTAAGTGAGTACGAATATTTTCTCTCCTAAAAAAGTTATTAGAATCGGATTATTAGAACTGTTAAAATCGAAATATATTCCTAAAATTTTCACAATGATTGTTTTCACTGAAAAAAGCTTCTGTCTTCCTTTCTGAGATATAATGTGTTAAAGACGTAACAATCTTCAATCCATGCCCAATTTTTAAATTCACAAAAGGGATTAGATTCACATCAGAAAAGCATTATCAAGATTACATCACAAAATATCAAATAACGCTTGATCAACAATTATTCAGCCTTTAATTAATCATTAATTTGATTAAGAGTCTGTCAAGAGTTAATTTTCATCTTTCGTGTGTCGCAACACTTTCAATATAAGTATTTAAAATTATTAAAAAAAAAAAATTCTTATTATAAATATGGATATCATATTTTTATTAAATATAGAAACTAAATTTCAAATTTTTACACGAAGATATATATCGATGTAAAAACAAGTTAAAATAGATTTTTTTGGAATATAAATATTGTTTCCGTGTACTTGTAAATCGATACAATATGGGATATACAAGTATCTTTCTCAAATAACTTTAAATAAAATATAATTACTAAGTATATTGTACAAATGGAAAAGCAAAGCTCTGTCTCGAATTTCTTAGAGAAAGCGTGACCAGAGAGTAAACGAGAATAGCTCATTGCAATAATATCGTATATTAAACACGCTTAATATACGAACGTGTAAATAAATTATTCCCACCAAGCGATTTTTCAATTCGATTTCATTTCATATGTAATTCTTATCTATTCAGTATAATACAATCAATAACATGACACTATGAATGATTGATTAAATTTTTAATCTAGTCACAATTAAATTTAATACATTAAACGTTTATTTTTTAGAAAAAAAAAACATGGTTTTCAAGGTAACGTGTTTTCGATCGATCCATAGAAATATTGTTTGATAACGATGAAAAATCAACAAATTACATAAAAATGGTAAAAAAATATCTCGATCAACATCATAAATCACAAATGAAAAAAATCAAATGAATCTGTTTACAATAAACACGATGTTATCAATAATATCTCGATGTTTTTATTACACATCTTTTCAAAAACATAATATCGTAAACATCTTTGCATGATATTCCGAGAGAGAAAAAATATTTCGTGTTCGTTCAACGGACAACAATATATAGTAAGAAATTGATGTAACGCCGAATTTTATATTTCGCAATCCGCAAACGATGAGCGGCCACGTTCGTGTCTTCCGTTCTTTGATTTCTCAATCGAGCTAACCTACCTTCGGAATATTTGATGTTCCCATCTCTGCCTGTCTCGTGAAAATTTCAAGTTTTCTTTTTTTGATAATTTCACTTGTCGCCACGTGTTTCATCGTGAATATAAAGGATAAAAAGATTTTTCAACATTTTTCCTTTTCCACTCATTGAAATTCGAACAAGTAAGGCCGTATCGTGACGTCTGTATACGAGCAATATAACCTTCAAACGATGGAAACGTTTGAAATTTTGCTAACGCGACGAAATTAAAAGATTTTTCTTCATCCTCATTACATTTACGTAAAGGAACTGGGCTGGTCTAAGGAGAAATTTTTAAGAAAGTCGATAAATGATTAAATGCCGATGTTAAAATTAATCGGTAAAATAAAGTTTTACGAACGTTGAAACGTTGTGTTCAACGAAGCTACCAATGTTATTCAAAGCGATGAACAGAGATAACAAACAGAGTCGACTTGTAAATTGTAATTTGGAATATTCGCATAGATGCATAAATAAACGTTTCATATCAATTAAATTACTATGCTAAAATATTCCATTGAAAACAAAAGTATAGTTCGATATGTACCTTTGTTCGATGTTTTGCCGTATTTTTTTTATATTTTCCATCACTTTGCGTCGAAACTTCCTGTGTACGCAAGACATCGATAAAATCAATCTAACGAAACGAGTACATTAGAATGTATCGATATTACGTCACAAATGTTTTGTTGGATCACAGGACGATATTAATTACCTCAATAAAATCGTTATCTACGACGAATACCCCGTTATTTATCCATTGTCTTTCCTTCGTTGTTTTTTATTACGCGTGCTTTGTTACATCATTATCACAACTTAGGTCAATGTATTTTTTTTTTTTTTTTTACCCTATCTATATACGAATTATCAATTAATTCTTTTCTTTGTCGCTTTATATTTTATAAATATAGAATCCAATTATTTTTATCGACGCACTTTCCGTAACGTAAGCATAGGTGCAGCTATATTTAATTTTATCGTATCGAATAATAATAAAAACGAAAATTACACAAAGATTTTTAAAGATGAATGAATTATATTTAGAATCACGTTTGGCGAACGGCCAAAAGATCGCTTTAGCCCAATTCTAATTCGACTCTCG